GACCCTCGGTGTCCCCCCACTGCCTGCGGTGAAGCCGCGACGGGGGCGGCCCTTCTGGATCTCAGCAGCCTCCAGCGCTGCCGAGCCCAGTAGCCCTCCGGGAGTGGGGGTCCCGCCCTGAAGTGGTTTCCTCCCTCCCTCCCTCCCGTCCTTCCTTCCATCCATCCATCCATCCATCACTTGGGGGATGCCTCGGAGGTCAGCACTCTCTTATTTAAGGTCTACGGCATGTGTTAAACGTGTAACAACTGTGCTGGGCGACATCATTTGTGGGTTTGGGGTTATACTTGTGATACCCAATTGTATATTTTCACCCTTAGCCAACTGAGTAAGGTCGCCAAACTTCTGTCCCCATGCAGGTTTGGATGGAGAAGGAACGTCTTCGAGTCAGTCGTGCCAACGTGGGGCAGCTGCGCTTGTTGGGGCCACCGAGATTCCAGCTTTGGCTTGGGCGGGCTTACCCTTGCCCTTGCAAGGGCAGCGCACAGCCTGGGGGTCTTCTTGGACCCACAGTGGCTGCTTGATGAGCAGGTGGCAGCTATGGCCAAGAAGGCCTTTGCGCAGCTCCATCTGGTGTGCCAGTTGCACCCCTTCTGGACTGGCCCTTCAGACCGTCACTCACACCCTCACCTCATGGCTCCGTTGCTGCAACGCGCGCTACATGGGGCTGCCCTGGAAGATCACATGGAAGTCTCAACTGGTCCAGAACGTGGCAGTGATGGGCTTGGCTCACTATGCCCACGTGACATCTCTGATCCACGAACTGCACTGGTTGCCAGTGTCTTCTGGGTGCGATTCAAGATCTCCCGTGGTGTCTGATACAAGCCAACAAGGTTGGCACATTTTGGGTCCCTTCGATTGAACAATGTCATCTTTTGGGACGTAGGGGGCACACCTTCTCCGTCATGGCACCTCCCTCCAGAGTCTGGGAGGCTCCCACCCTGACAGCGGTCCAGAGGGACCCGGACCCGGTGTTCTCTGTCAGTGTGATGTCGAACGATATACCAAAGCTTTAGAATCTGTTTATCAGGAATTATGGTGAGATTGAGCATGGGGGGGGGGGGCACTAAAAGAACCATACTGAGAAATTAGAAATGTGATATTATTCCATATGTTAAGGAATGGTTGGAAAGGTGTGATCTATCCGTTTTGGAAAAGGCAATATTTTCTACTACGTAATCAAAGGATGGAGCAATATGTGTTACTATGGCACAGAATCTCTGCTATTTTACAATATTTTTTGTACTGATTACATTATAGTCGTGTACTTATTAGTAAACCAGTGACTTGATAAGTATAAGGTAGATTTTTTTCCTTTTTTTCTTTCCTTTCTTAGTTTGTATTTGGAGTTGTTTCATTTCCATTTCTTTTGTGTCGGTTTCTATAGTATTATTTTTTCTTTAAAGTTTGTTTTGATACTTGTGTATGTTAAGATTGTTAAATAAAAATAAAAAAAACATTAAAAAGTACAGTACCTGGAGCTTTGTTGTTGGCCAGATTCACCATTATGTTTTTTAGCTGCTTTACTTGTTTTTTTGCTAGTTATGTTTTTGAACTGTTTTGTATTTTATTTCCTTTGTTATACTGTGAGTTGCTCAGAAGCATTTGGAGTTGGGTGATGCCTAAATTGAATGATTTAAATTAATACATCATATGAGCCATGGCTTGTTAGCCATGGTTTGTTGAATAAATGGCAGTTTAGGGGTTCTGACAATGGGCTACACAGTGCATCATAATTGCAGATCACAACTGTTCGGATGACATAAAACCCTAATTAAAAAATAAAATACAATCCATCATAGGATTTTGGGGGGGGGTTGCATATAGTGTGTGGGGCCTAGCCTATTATAGTTTATTCAACAGACAAAACATGGTTTAGCAGTACATGTAAAACCAGTTTGTGATTCCAGCCCTCTTAGTGGCCTAGTTAACAGGAGAAAAGCTTATTTCGAACTCGCCAGTTTAGAGCAGCTTGGGTGATGGCTGCCGGAATGGGCTACATGGAGCACCATCCTGCTGCAAACTCGGAAAAGTGAGATATTTAGTCTTCTAAATATCATTTATGGATATTTATGGATTCATTTGTTGGTAACCATCCGTGAGGATGGGCTGCTGTCAGGCCCACAATGTCCAAATCCCAATCCAGAAGAATCCTCATGAAACCAGGCCTGGTTCAGATAAAAT